GATAATAACGATATATGGTGTAGTTTAATGGTGTATGATGATAATGAATCAAATTGTTGTGTAGTTTTTTCTTGTATTTGTGTGTGTGTGAGAAACCAAAAACTTAATCATCATAGGTAAAATAAGAACAATAACCAAAACATAATAATATTGATGTGATCCATTTTTTTTGTAATCGTTTCTTCTCCTCATGCATCTTATTTTTTTATTTTTATTTTATAGATCATCTTGTTCTGGTGGTGATAGTGATATAGTTCATAATGATTAATGAATAATATTTATTTGATGTTATGGATAAATGTTTGATGCTTGTTTTGTTTTTTTTTGTTGTTTGTTTCAAACTTTTAGAATTGCTAACATTATTTATCAATAACAGAAGCCGGTAAAAATGATGATGATGATGATGTATCGATAAAAAAAATATATATTTGAATAACGGTTATATACAAAATAATCCATCAGATTTCATCATCATCATTGGTATCAGCATGTGGCGCCCATTCTTAACCCTCTTCAAGATGATCATCTATAAGAGATCTTTTGAATATTAAAATATTGTTGAAAAGAAAAGATCTTCAAGAGATATCGAATTCAACAGCCGGAAAAAATATGTTTTTTTATATGATAACAATAGATCATTGAAAAGTTTCGAAAAAAAAATATATATTTTAGAATTGATTGATTTGATTATGAGATTCGAATTGTTGTTAGTGGTTGAAGTATAGTAGAAGAAGAAAAAACAATGAATAACTATAGCGATAAAAAAAATTGAAAAAAAAACTGGGCCGAGTCAATTTATTCTGTCTATTTTAATTAATGCTTGTTACCTGCTTTAACCACCACCACCATCATCATCATCATCATCATCACTGTAGATTTTTGAATTTTTTATTTTCATCAAATTTCATTACTGATTGTCATGATGGTTGTTTGTGTTTGATGATTGAGGCTGAACAAATCATCACAAATATAGATCATCAATCCATCTTGTTGTTATGGATGGTTGTTGTTGTTGTTGTCATCGTTATCTCTGGTTATATGATCATACACACACACACAGCTGGAACCATTGCCAGAACCTGAATATTCAAGTGAAAAGAAAAAAAAACATACAAACTAAACAATAAACAAACAAATAAACATGAAAAATGATTTGTTTAAAAATAATCAATGAAACAAAATGAAAATTTTATCAACAACAAAAAAAAATTGAAAAATTGAATAAAATAAAATCCATTCATTCATTTATTTTATTCATTAATATTTGGTCGACCGGTCAAGTGAAAACATTTATCAATCAACATTTGTTTTTGTTTTTTGTTTTGTTTTGTTTTGCTCAAGTGCCGATATAATTTGGTGTATTTGATTTTTTCAACAACTTGTTGTTCTGTTACTGTTTTTTTTTCGGTCGATCTAATTTATTATTGTTTGATGTGGATAAATGAATGAAAAATGTAGAAAGAACAAGAAATCTTTATTTTACCTTTGAATTTGGCGTAAAAAATTTGTATTGGTTAAACCCCTTCCATAAACCTCCAAGTGAAATATAGTGCTCCATTTTGAATTTATATTTTTGTTTTAAAAAAAAGAACAATAATGAAAGAAATCCATTATTTTACTTCTGTTCGATCAACCAATATGGATGCTACAGTTCATCATTCTTTTTTTTATTATGATTATTTTTATTGTATTTTTGGCTGATTTTCTCATTATCGGGAAAAAAGTTTAAACTGCAGTAAATTTAAAAATTCAAAAAAACTGCGTGTTGGTGCGTTTATGTTGGTCTTAATTTTTCTGTTTTTTTTGAATTTTCAAAGAAAAAAACTTTTGTTGCTAAGAATCAACTGACAAGAATCTCCAATAGTGACGGAATTTTTTTATTTGTATTTTTTTTGAAAACAAAAAATCCAATATAAGAATTTTTTTTTGTTCATCACATACATTCGCGTGACATAGCATACTCATTTAAATGCTAATATTTTGAATATAAATTGAGTTGAATAAAGTTTTTCCATTTCTATAATCTTAAGAATCGATGAATCGATTTCGATTGAAATCGGTAAATTCTTATTCAATGTCATCTTTATATACATTGTTTATTTTCATCTAAATTCAATGATTACATAATTCATATTAATTATTCTTGTTTATTCATGTAAGAGAAATAAGAAAAAAAATTTGATCTATTTTTCTATTATTCAATCGACCTGATGACCTGAGCTAATGAACTGATCAGCTAAAACAAATGAAAGTTAATTAGAAAAGGTCTTGACACTAATATAGTTTGTTGATATTAATAAATTTAATGATCATTATTGTTGATTGTGATGATGATGATGAGAATGGTGTCAATTATGTAGGATTCTTTTTTTAAAAGAAAAACTAATCGATCTTTCAGCCTTATGAACCTATGATTCGTACTTTATAAATCATCTTCATTTTTTTTAAAAAATTTATGAAATTTTTCTTTTTACATTTCATTACAAAAAATAAAATTCATCTTGTTTCAACGAATAATGTTTCATTATTTTTTTCCGTTCTTATATCATTCATCAATGTTTAACAGGAAAAATTTAATGAAACTTTTATTGTATTTATAATTTTTTTTTCATTCATGTTGTTGTTGAAATAACTTAATGTAATTTGTTCTAATATCGGCTTTTAATTGTCATTTCTTATTAAAACTATGGGAATAAAATATACTATAGTGATATACTTGACTATTCTTTAGTGGATCGATAGCTTTTTTATCTGACCTATTAAAGTGGTTTTTTTTCTTACTGATAATGATAATAATAATAATAATAATGGTCGTATTCGTAGATAATAGTGGTGAATTTTTTCTTAGATGGTAGCGGCAAGTTGCCCATGTTGTGGAATGCTGACTTATTTTGCCGTTTTTTTTGTTGATTCTATTTCTGTGCAACGGTACCGTCGTAGACAAATGAAAAAAATAAACGGAAAAAACAAAATGAAAATAGGAAACAATTTCAAATACCGTATTGATAAAAAGTTTCTTACTTTACATTTTCATTATTCTGTCATCTATGGCAACCATGGTGCCAGTATATTGTAAATTCAATGGAAATTTTTACGTTTTTTTTTCTATTTCTTTATACGATCAAATCGAATGAATATTTATTTCATCGTCATTCATGTTTGTCAAGGTGAAATACTTTTATCAAACACCGAATTCATGTTGAAATTAGCGTGCCAACGCAAACGTTTTATTTTCAAGTTTTTGTTTGTCTTTTTGATTTCATAGTTACAATTTTCAAATTGTTGATTTTGTTTTTCCGGATTAGAATCATTGAAATTTTCAATATTTTTTTTTTTATTTTGTTTATTTGATATAAAAATTCATCAACAAATTACAAATTTATTTTTATCAATTCAAACGATCGATGGTTAACCATCAAATCATTCGTGTAGGTATGTTTTTTTTTTGAATTTTCTAACACTTTCAGCATCAATAATGTAAATTGATAATCAAATTGATAACCTTCAAATGTGGTGAATATTTTTTGTTGTTGTTGTTGTACATTCAAGCTTAATGGTGAATGTCACCAAAAATTTTGTTCAGAATTTTTCTATTTAAAAGCTAAATTCAAATATATTAATGAGATATATAATCCTTATTGAATTATTAATAATGATTCAATTATTGTTGTTGTTTTTTCACCAAAAAAAAAATTTGTTATCATCATTTTTTAACAAAATAAAATAAGTAAAGTAGTAGAAGAAGAAAAATAACGCTTGATGTACGTGTAAACCATTTGATTTATTACTAGCCATTAAATTGAATTAAATTGAATGTATACTGCTATAAATGAAGATTATTTTTAGATAAATTTTCATTTTCTGTCATTTGATCAATCTCATTTATTTATTCATTAATTGACAATATTCAAGCAAAGTTTTTGGTTGAATTCCGAAACTCTTTTTTATCAAAAAAAAAGACGAATAAAAATGACATATCAATCATAAAGGAATGAGGCTTAATTTTTTTTTATTTTCATCATTATCAGATAAATTGATCGATAATGAATCGAATCAATATATTGATAGCGGATCAATTATTCATTCATTTATTCATTCATATATACATTAATTCATTCGCTTAAATAAGGATGAGTTGGAAAAAAAGTCAGTAACTATTACATCGTATTTGAAAATATTTAATGATTTAACAAACACCCTGTATGTAATAAATTTTGAAGAAAAAGAAGAAAAAAAATTGATTCGAATACGAATCATTTTCATCATTAAGTTGGTAAAATGAAAAATAATTTGAATATAGAAAAAAAAACTATACAATTTCAGTTTTAGATTGAATCGATTGTGTGCGTGTGTCTTTCGGCTGGTTCGTATGTGTGTGACTTTTTTTTTCTTTTACCTTGTTGTTGTTCATATCATTACCTAACGAAAATGTGAAAATACCTACAAGCGACCTACCACATAGGTATGCGAAATGCAAATTTTTTTTTTGTTTTGTTTCTTTACTAAAAAAAACATTCATTGAAATTGCAACAACTGTTTTCGGTTCAGATAAATTTAGATAAAATATATTTTGAATTCAAAATTTTTCTTTGTATGAATTTTTTTTCCTCACTATAAAATATATGCATATAAGAATGATATTTATTTGAAAACGAAAAATTTTTCTACCGGGTACATATCATCATTTGCTTTTTTTGCCCCCAATCAATTATCAATTACCATTAATGTTAGAATTAATTGTTGAATGATCAGGCTATGAATCCATATAATCGTTGTTGTTGTATTATAGCTAATATTATTTTTAATGAATTGTTATTATGCAAAAAAAAAATTTTACGTTGACAAGAATAAATGTCGCAATCAATTGAAACAAATATTTTATGTGAATCACAATGATAAATTTATCAATTCAATTCAATGATGACCTCTTTAATAAAATAAATTTCTAATTCTTTTTTTTCTGTTTTTTTTTGTTTTCTGTTTTTTAGGCCATTTTTCACACACATCACATCTGATTTACATTCTGCAATTATTCGATTCGATTCCATCATTTCAATCTAAATCATATTATAATGGATGTTTACTGAAAAAAAATATTCTTTTCACTTGCATCTCCATTAGTATCTGAATTTTGGAAATTGGGCTTGTTTGATGCAATCTAAACAATCCTTAACAAAATTGAGAAAATTTTTCAGAAAGTTTTGACAATAACAAAAAAATATGCCTCCTGATGTTCACATCGAGCAACAGACATCATTATCTCAATATAGACATTTATCATCACCACCATCGCCATCATCTTCGCCATCTTCTTCATCATCATCATTATCATCATCGTCAACAACCACTTCAATATCCGTTAAGGAACGGTGTTCAATGTCCGAACAAACGGACATAAATATTGCAGGATGTTCAATTATCGATGGTCAATCGGAATCAATTTATATGCAACGATATCAAGCATTACGAGATGCTGGATTCGATGAAACAACTGCCAATAAATATTCGCCATTATATTCATCGGTAAATGAAGTTATTGATGCCATATTGTCACAATCTTTGAATGATAATTCGACAATAAATGATGGTCGAACGTTATTGGCAAATAAAGGGAAAGATAATAATTCTTATTCATCGGCTATCTATAGTAATGGTGATAATAAATCATCTACAATCATGACCTACAATGATATATCTCCTCTTGCTGCGGCTGAATTATTATCTCAATCAACTGATTCAATATCGATAAACAAAACAAATAATAATAATAATCTAATAATGGAATGTATTCATGGCCAATCACCGCCATTATCCAAACGTTTTCTTTGTATGGCTATTGGCGATAGTAATGGATCCGTTATCGATTCAAATGATTTGATAGTATGTTCACCAATTGAATCATATCATCATGATCAGCATTTTAATGCTAATGGAAATTATTCATCTCTTTCAAATTGTATTGGCAATATTCATCAAAAATCATTGATGAAGAAAGCTATTATTTCTTCTGAATCTCCTGAATTATCTATTGATCATCATCGTTCAAATGGTAATAATCTAATTGTTACGATGCTAAAAGATGGTTTGCTAGAAGATTCAAACGATGAAATTACGCTGGAAGATGATGTTGGATTATTGGCAGATGGTCAAAATGGTAATGGTTCACCATCAGCATCATCATCACTTTCATCTGGTATATCGTCATCATTCTTTATGGATACATCATCGTCATCACCATCATCATTTTCATCGCTTTCATCATCGATATCGATTTCGCCTCCATCAAATCAATCGATTGTGGCCAATTTTGAAAATCATCATCATCATAATCATCATCAGCAACCACATTCAATCAATAATAACAAAGGCAACCATCATCAAACATTGTCCAATGATAATGGTACCTTGATCAGTTTGTTTTTATCAAAACAGCAAAAATCATCAAACAACAACAATGTGGAAAATAATGGAAAAATCAAATCAACATCGGCCAAGACCATAACAACCATAATGAATGATTCAAATGATATAATAATATCTAATGGTTATAATAATAATAATCATATGCATAATGGCATTAACAACAACAACAATAATAATAATAACGAAACCAATGATCTCAATTGTGAAACTTTTTCTTTTTCATTGGACAATCTGTCTATATCTTCGTCATCATCGACATCATCATCATCTTCATCGAATACTACTACCATGAAATCTAATCAACAAAGAAATGATGAACGATCATTCGATGGTTTGTTGGATCATCATCATTCGATGATCATTGGTAATAATAAGCTTTCATATAATTCAAATAATCGATCATCGATTAAGGTTTATGGGAACGGTAACGATAGTTCAGAAGATAACCATCATCATTATCAACAAAATAACGATTGCAAGTCATTACATCCGGTGAACGGCAACAGCAGTGATAATGTTTCAGTGGTTGAACCAAATTCTTTCAATGATACGGGTTTTATTTCCGGTGTTGATGGTTGCCATCATAATAGAAATCATTTACATTTTCCATCCACCACCATTATGACGATAGACAAATTGAATGTTGATGGTAGTTGTTGTAATGATCTACTATTTGATAATCATGATCAACATAATCACAAAACGACAAATGACTTTATGATGAAAAGCTGTCAACCGATGACATTTGCTGCTGGTGGTGGTGGTGGTTGTCGAAATTCGGATGATACCCTCAATGATTTATTAGGCTATCTCAATTTACAACAACAACAATTGTTTACGAATAATCAACCACAACAACAATTACATGGTAACAACTTTGATCTTAGAAATCGTTCAATGTTGGCAACGGTGTCAACGGCAACATCATCGCCGCCGTTATCTTCGGTGTCATCTAATTCATTGTCAACGACAACTAATAACAATAATGACGTAATCACGTCATCAAAATCATCGTCATTTGATGAGAATGGTGTCAATTTGAAAAACACCGCTGCTGATATTTTTAATAATGTTGAGAATAATACAACAGCCACTATTGTTGGTGTATTGAATGAAATGAATAATCACTATCATACACATCATCATCATCATCATCAGAATAACAATAACAATTGTAATAACAAAAACAATTACAACAACATTTCGAACAATCTAAATCTATTTTCTTCATCAACACCATCATCATCATCATCACCAGTGTCGATGAATACGACATCAACATCATTGTTAATCGATACATTCAATACAATGAATGATTCAATATTCAATCACAATTGCTCAAGCGAATCGGTTAATACCCTAGAGCAACAACATCATCAATTGAATCACAATCGTTCACCGAATAATTATCATCAACATCAACATCATCATCATTCACAACAACAACAATATCATACATTTTTGTCAGCCGCTTCAAATCATCATCCGAATCATCAAAAACAGCAGCCAAGAACATTTGCTGATATTGCGGCATCGTCATTGAATGGCCATCATAATAATGGTATTGGTGGTAATACTGGCACTAATAATGGCAATAATGTTTTGAATGGTGGTGGCGTTGGTTCAAATAATATCGATCTAGTTGATTCATCATCATTTCTTAATTTATTAGATTCATCATCTCATAAATCATTTAATGGTTCTAACAATGGATCATCTAATGGTTATTTTAATGCTTTTACATCATCATCAAATATATCGGTGAATAATCCAATGCAATCATTCTATGACCAATTTAATGCTGATCAAAATGGATTGAATAAAAAATATTATCGAAAACAACAACAACATCAGCAACAACAACAACAAACACAAGTATTGAATTTTCGTGCCATGGGCGCATCTCCATTATCGCCTTCAATGAGTATGAATGATGCTAATAAACTATTGAAATCAGGGCAAATAAAAGAATCTCAATTAGGATTTATTCGATCACCTAATGGATCATTGACCATAACGGATTGCGGTGGTCATATTGGTATTGGAGATAATGGTTTTGAATCGAATGGTATCACAATGAATGAAAATTCCCAATCATCTAGCCGTCCAACTAATCTTATGGGCTATAAAGGTCTTTGGGTTTGTAATGTATCACCGGAAGTTGGTTTACACTACTTAAAACGTCGATTCCGTCGTTATGGACATTTTACTGGCATTCAAACATTCGAACGACGTGCAACTAATGGTACAAACATTGTGTTTGTTCATTATGATAATCCAAATTCTCCCGTTGAAGCTATCATTGCATTACATAATTACAATGGACAAGATTTATGTGCAGATCCAAATGAACCATTAAAATTACGTTTTGCACCAAGCATGGAACAATCACGTGCCGGTCAATTACCAACATTAGAACAGGCACGTAAAATTGTTGAAAAAAGTGGTGAATGTTTTAATTGGCGTTTATCATCTGGATGTCATCGTGGCCAGCGATGTCATCTCAAACATATTTCCATAAACAAAGAAATTGATTCTCAGCCATGGGTATGTTTTATTATTTGAATCTGAGATGAATTCTATTAAATTGTATTTTTTTCCCCGTTTCATTGTATAGGTAAAAGCATTGAAGAAAAAAATCAACGAAACATGATGTTCTGGCAATCAATTTTTTTCCATCTGCGAATATTCAAAATCATCGACTGAAAATTAAAGAAAAAACAATCATCAAATAATTGTTGTTGCTATCAATTTCTTCTTCATTCTTTTATCTCAGCTTTATTATTTACATTATTTTTTTGTTGATCTTGTTTTTATCTATTCTTCAATCTATCTCACTTACACACTCTTGATCTTTCCTTCATATTTATTTATTCAAATCTGATCTGAACAAAAATATGAATGAATTTCATCACTGAGAATTATATTTTGTTTATTTTTTTTCGTGCTTTTTTAATATTTTTCTCTTCTCGTTGTCCTGATTAACATCAAAACAGGATAGGCAATTCTCACATAAAAACACACACACACACACATCAAATGCAAATTCATTTCAATGACATACACTCCTACATAATAATGAAAGAAATACAATAATTTCGTCCACACCCACACACCCGAATATACAAAAAAAAAATCTTTTAACATATTTCAATTTTAATTGATGATGATATATTTTTTGCGATACTTTTTACTTTTGTTAAATATAATAAGTGACTGTGAATGAGGTAACAGGCTAGTAGTAGTTATTCTAATCCAAATAATTTAATTTTTCAATCTGTGTTTGTGTGGTCCTGATTTGGATCTCTATTTCTTTATGTTTTTTATAAAGGGTCGATTTCATCATCATCTTCTTCTTTTTCTTTTCAAATCAAATTATTATCACTAGAAAAAATGAATATCTTTCTTTCTCTCTAACTCTCTCTAACACTTTTCAAGAGACAACATTTATTTATCTGGTCCTTTTATGAAGATATTTTCTCTCCCTTTTTGAATTTTTTTTTTGCTTTCATTGTTCATCAGAATTAACATTTTTTTTGATAAATGAGTCTTATGATGATAATAATTTGCTTTTACAATAGGATGGATGATAATTAATCCAAATTCATTTTTTTCACAAGTCGAATCCTTTTTTTCCTATCTCACACTGCACAAATTATAATTTGATTTTTTTTGCCTATTTTTTTTCGTTTGTTTTTTCCTCTCGAATGTAGACTTTTACTTGAATTAAGTGTCATTAACATTTCTTTTATATTATTTTCTTCATCGCACATAATTGATACATCGTTGAACTCTTTTTTTTCAAATATTTCTTAATATTTGGCATTAATTAATCAATCATTTTTATTTGCTAATTGAATCAATAAACACTTAATCAAGGCAAACACAAACACACACACACATTTTTCATATTGTCATATTAGACAAATGAGGATATTGATGATTGAATTTATTAGATAAAATTGTATTGAAAAAAAATACACAAACACACCTGATGAATCTCACATTATTATTTTTTGTCTGATTGATTCAGTTTTTTTTTCTATTTCTTCCTGCCTTTACGTTTTGTTCACCATTTCGTTCAAAATCATTATCATTTTTTTTCCATACAATCACAATGCTTTCAACAACATTTTATCTCTGGTGCAATTTTCCTATTTTGCTTTCTTTTTTTTCAATTTTGTTTTTTCTTTTCTTGATCTGATTGGACATGATTTTTGTGAATTTTTTTTATTCTTGGTTTTTTCAACATTTTTTTTCTGACCGAATTTCCTTCAATGGATTTGTCATTTTATTTTTTTTTTCATCTATTTTTTTGATAATTTTTTTTTTCTTGTCGAATAATTTATTCATTTTTTTAATTGATTGAATTATGAATTTTTTTTTCGATTAATTATACACCATGATCACATGCACCATCTATCGGGGTTTATTTGCAAACGATGTAATCTTTTTTTCTTTCTTTTACAAAATCCATTTTCAAAATTTAATTTTTTTTTGTTTCGTTCATTTTCTTTTAAAATTTATATTTTTATTTTTTTGTCACCTTCAATTACTCCCATTGAATGGATTTTGTCTGTTTTTTCCTTGCTGTTTTTTTCTCGAATGAATTTTGATCTTAATTTTTAATTTTCAAGTTTTTTTCTTTTTTTGATCTACTACACTTTCACTAATCTCATGCTTATTATTATTATTACAATTCTGGAATCAAATTTTTTGCGCATTCGAACACTTTTTTTTTCTCACACATTCTATCCTATTTTATTATCATCCATTCATTCTATAATGATGATGATAAATTATTAATTAATTGATTGTTATTGATTTAAAATTGAATAAAAAAATTTCTTTGAATATAACATACGAATCATTTGTTTGTTTGAATTGAATTTTATTTTATTTTTATTTTTTTTTTTTTTTTGAAACATGGGAATAAAAATCCGGTCAAATTAAATTATTTTGGAAATAATTATTAATCAATTTTTTGTTTATCAAACAATCTAAAGTAACTAGATTGTGGGATTAAAAGGTTCACGAAATAATTGTCCGCATATTTTCAAAGATTTTTCATCACAAGTAGTGGTTGAAAATCCTTCTGTTGCTATTATTTCAGAAACACACCAAGCACTTGCATGTTTTCGCATACAATCAACGTATTCTACAGCATCTTTGCCAAATTTAAATGTCATTTTCATTGTTTTTTTGATAATATCAAAAATGCTTTCTGCATCTGGACAAGGAGGTAATTCGGTTTGAGCATAAATTGCTGTAAACAATGACATAGCCAGAACAATTGTTACAAATACGAAACCTGATAAAATGATAAAGGAAACAAATTTAGAAAAGAGAAACAAATTGATCTTCAATAATCAACAAATCAGACCTTTCATTTTTGGTTGATCTTTTTTTTGAAATTGTTTTTCAACGATAAATTATTTTGCTTGCTTATTTTAGAAATTGAAAACAATAATGTTTCAACGGTCGAATTTCATGTTTATATATGGTTACTTGATGATTCAAAATTGTTCAAAAGGGTTCAATGTTCCACACAAATTGGTGTTGTTCATCGGAAGGAAACGATGATTATCTTTGTAATCTAATCAGCAAAGGAAACTTTTTTTTGAAAAATTTTAAAAAATATTTCGATTAATAAATCATTTTATAAAGGAAACTTTTTTTATTGGTATCCGAAAGTCAATTTTTCACATAAAATAGATTTATATCAATTGTGAGGATGAAACTTGTTGCTAACGGGAAAAAATTTGAAAATTACATTTATCAAAATACATTATTATGCTCATAAATAGATTCCTTGTAAAGTTAAATTATGAATTTATCAATGATTATTCAATAATCGTACACTGAGCTAAACTTAATTCTGCACATTTTAATGTTTTAAAACATTTCCATGGATTTGCTAATAGAAGACATCGGTATGCAAGATCCAAACATTGTTCGCTTAAATGTAATGCTGTACATTTAAAAAAATTGGCAAATGTTTCGATTGGACTTGGAAAAGCATGGATATCTGACCATTGTATCATCAATACCAACAAAGAAACCACCATTACGATTGATACTATTTCGTAAAAAAATTAAGAATCCCAATTCATTCTATTAATATTTTTACATACCTTTCATGTTGTTTTTTATTGTTGTTAATCTTTTTCTTGAAAACAAAAGATGAATGTGGGATATACTGAAACTTTTTGATGTTTTTATATCGGTATTTTCAAAAAACAAATGATCATTGATACAATCAATGATATCAATCAATGTAATGTCATTGAATTCATTAACAACAAACCGGAAGAATTAATTTTACAATAATCACCTATACAGTATCTTGATAAAAATCCTTGAAATTTCATCTCCATTTTAGTAAAAATTCCATTTTTTCTAGAACAACACCAGATGGCAACTCTACCTTTGATACAAAATATAAAAAAGCATCTAAAAATCTAATTTTTTTATGAACAAGTTATAGAAAATTTTCAAAGTAAACTTTTTATCTCAATACGCCCATTTTATTTATCAATCCACCTTCTCATCAATAATTGACAAGAGGTTTTTTTTACATGGAAAATAGGCATTTTTGAATCCAATCGCAGACATTTTACATTATATGATTGTAGGAATTCGCCCGTAGAATCATGTCCACAATCCAAAAGCAAAGTTGACAAAAGAAATAGATTTGTTTGTCACGATAGATTTTAATTCCATTGGGTAACAAATTTTGTTTTTGTTTTGTTTTGTTTGGTTGTTTTGGTTTTTGATTCAATAAAAACATTGAAAAATTTCGCATTTCTCATGGCTACCATTATGATTTTTGTTTGTTTTTTATTTCAACGTTTCCGTTTTATTTGTTTTTGGCCATCATTTTGAGGATGGAAATGTCATCACCAGATTATAATGTTAATGATAATAGTAGTCTTTGATGATGACCTTTTTTCAAAAACAAAATTTGTTTTTTTAAAAAATTTACTTGAAAACATTCAATGATCATCATTGTATCGTATACATTTTTTCAATGAGAAAAAACAAATAAAATATTTTTTTTTTCGTTTATTCTGATCAATTCCATTCTCCTTCATTTAATTCAACCAGATTTGAAGATTGAAAGCAAAGTTTTTTTTTTTGTTCGTTCATCAAATTCTTTTCTGGCTGATTAAATTACGTACTGACATTCACATGTATGCAGGAGAGAGAGTTAAAAAAACACAAAATAAAAATCGATACATTTTTGTTTTCTTTTTTTTCTGCTGAAACATTATCATCATTATTATTATCCAACACTAGTGATCGCTTTTTTCACAATCCATTGCTTTGTTTATATATTCTATTTCGGTTAAAAGAATTACCCACACACACACACACACACCGAATATTAGTGTTTGTTAAAACTCTGTTGATGAGCTTTTTTTTTTGTTTTTTGTTTGCATCATCCATTCCAATATCGTCAGTATGATCAGTAAATTAGTTTTTCCCAAAAACACATGAACATAGTGAAACATGAATAAAGGAATACACTGATCATGTATTACATAGCAATAGCATCATCATCATTAATACATTAATTATGATTTACACATTGTCACTTTTGTTTTTGCCTTCATTCATTATGTGTGTGGTGGATGCGAACGAATGTATTTACAGAATTTGTTTACAAAGTTCAGGTTTTTTATTCTCATTGTTTTGTTTGGTTGTTTTTTGTTGTTTTGTTTACTCCATCATATTTTTTTTTATTCGATGTTAATTAATCGTTTTTTTCGGGGTTGAACTCGAAGTATAATTCAACAGACAGTTTTCAAGTCAATTATTCTTTTTCTATTTTTTTATTTTTATCGAATATTGAATATTTCTCATTAAACATAAAATTTTTGTTTTTTAGCGATCAATTGCAATTCATCGATTATAAATTGATGATTTTCTTCGTGTCTGGAATGGAACAAATTTTTTTGGCTAAAATTAACCAAAATGAAGAAACATTGCCGAAAGAAATTCATCATCAAAAATAGATGATAATGAACTGTATAACAATAAATCTTGTTGATATTCACAAAAAAAAAATTATTTCATCAATTTTCCTAAAAAAAACTAAAAATATTCAACAATAAAAACAAATTTGTTTTTTGAATCACAAGTCACATGGTAATGACATTATTTGCAAGAATTATATGATAGATAATGGATTCAAATTCATTATTTTAAATAATCAACTACAGAAATAGCAAAAAATAAACAATAACAACATAGAAAAAGAAAAAGAAAATATTTACAATTATAGCTATTATCACTAGCGAATAATTATGATCAAATTATATCATCATTATCGATAATTATAATCAATTTATTTTGTTTACCATCATCACTGTTGATTCTATTTACATATGTCTGTGTGAATGATGAGAAATTGGTTGTTCTAACTAAAGGCCATTTTGATATCAGAAAAAGAGATGATGGAAATGAAAAAAAATGAGAAAAATCTTTCCGAATCACGAACTAAAGTGAAGAAACAAAAATTTATTTAACATTCGTTACGGATGCTGATGATGATAATGATAATGATGATGATACAAAGAATTTTGCAAATGCAATATCATCATAACAATTAACTGGAAAAAATAACAAATAACATTTGCCTGCCTTGATTAAGATAGAATCAATGACCTTAATGTTTTCATATCTATAAATATGATTCATTCAATTTGTAATATAAATTTTTTTCTTCTTAAATCATACAATTTAGTATATCATTTTCATTTTGTATTTGATGATAACAGTAAAAATCAGGTCTTGGTTAGGAAACAAAACAAAAAATCTCAAATACATTTTATATTTATCTTAAAAAACATAGACATTAAGTTTATTTTTCTTATTGTTTTCATTGCTATAATGATGATTATAACTTTCTTTCGATCATTTTAATGGTCGATTTGTGATGATGATGATGATGATGAGTCGTAGTTATTGTCTCATTCGAATTTCTCTTTTTTGTTTTCATTATTGAATATTTTGCTAAAATGGATAATGATGATTCCTATGGCTTTCGATCATTCTATATATGCATATGAATTCATATTAATGTCATCAGTATATATGTTTATTTTCTTATATAAATTATTTTCTTCTTTTTCAATGTTCATGATGATGATGATGATGTGATATAATAATTCTATTAAATTATCTATATATTATATAAGAGTGTGTGAGTATGTTTTCTTGTTATATTTTTATTGAATCTAATAATAAATTTTCATTGTTGTAATATAGATGAAAATAATATTACGTGAATTGTTTATATAAATAAAACAACATCAGTATGTGTTTGCGCATTGATATCTTAATAATATCATCATCGAACAAATTAACCACCAACATAGACATCGACATAAAACAAACAAACAAAAAAACCGACCAACAAACAAAGCGAATGAAAATGGAAAAAAAATCATGACCAATATATCTCAATGGCAGACATGTTTTTCATTACATAAATATATTATTTTGAAGCTGAACAAAAAAAAACAGAGCAAGAATTGAATTGGCATCAGTATTTTTATCGATTTGATCCTTGAAAAAGAACGTGATCAATGAATTAATTATTGTATGTTCTTTGGTCTATGTTTGTTGTTGTTGTTGTTGTTGTTGGTCATTTGTATTGTGTAAAAGATTATCATGGTGTAGATTGAAGAAAAAAGAAAATTCACTCCAAGTCTAGTGAACTATCGATTATTATTATTTGTCTGAAAAAATGAGAAGGTAGAAAAAGAACCTCAAATACGAAAAAATTCTCGTTTTTATATCACTGATCATGTGTGAGAAAAAAAAAATTAATTTCATCTATTACATTAACATCTTCAAACAATGATTGTGATAACGATAATAGAATAAAAAGAAAAGAATTTGTTTAATTTATTCACTTAATTCAAGAGTTTTTTTGTTGTTGTTGTCCTTTATTATAATCATTGTTGTTGTAGTAATTGTTGTCGTTTTGTTGCTGTTATTGTTCAAGTATTAGTATTTCTTTTCTTTATTTAATAAACCTTTGATAAACTGTCTTTCAAAGTCAATATTATCTTCATAATCTTTTAATAATATTTTTTTGAATGTTTTGCTCCAAGTATTTCAAAGGAAAAAAAAGTACCCTAATCTCTATTAAACTCTTTAAATTTTCTTCAATCTTTCATCAAAACATTCTTATTTTTATTTTTGTTGTTTATGTTTTTATTAAAAACTTTTTTCTTCTGTTTGCTAAAAATAGAATATCGTTGTTATCAGTATCAGACAAGTTAAATTGTTTGAAATAAACATTCGACAAGAAAAAATGAAAAATAAAAAAGGGTGTCGTTATTATAGACAAAGAAATATATGATGAGAAGTTCCGATAGATAAGAAAAGGAAAGATTACTCTTTCATTTTTTTTCTATAGACACATATATTTGAAGTGAAAAAAAATTAATTCACTCAATATATATAAGAAAACAATGATCTGGATCAATAAAACATATTCCGTTTAAATTATAAAGAATTAGTTGCAATATCACCACTTATAATCATGTCTCACACATACCGATACTTGTCATTATGGTTTTCATATATTGGTTTCGTTTCGTTTACAATTATTATTGTATCTGTATCAAATTTATGATTTTTTCTTTCATTTTTTTCGGGTGACACATGTTAATCTTTTCTCATTGTTTTTGTTTCCAATAAAACTATTGTTAAAGTTACGATCACGTTACTTTTTTTTCTAATAAAGTTTTTCATAACCCAATTACAAATATCTTCTCTAACGTTTACAATCGAATCGTATCGGAACAAAAAGGATTCAACTAAATCTAAAGAAAAGAGCGTCACAAACTTTATTTGTAAATCGAAAATTAAGAACTTTAAACAAAACAAAACGAATTTTCGTTTTTCTTTTTCTTTTTTGTTAAAAATTTTCTATCCCATTTTTTTCTGATTTCATTCTTTTCCAATTAAATTGGAAGCTGTTACAATAGTTTGTGGGTGTGTGATGAAAAGAAAATGTCATTTGTGCTATCTTGCTTCTCTGTTTTGTTCGATTTATCGTATCAATGGAAAATTCTTGTGAAAATTTTGGTCAAATAAAACATAAGTATTTAAAGATTTAACGCAAAAGTAAAAAGAATTTAGTTTCTGTTTAAGG